AGTTATGCTCACGGAGATAGTCAGGACGTCACTGGCAACAATGTACATTCCTAAAGCTTGAAGAGAGTCAAGGGTGACTTTTCTACCAAAACCAGGAAAGAAGGATTACACAGAAGCTAAGTCATTTCGACCAGTTCGCCTTACCTCTTTCATGCTTAAAGCCATGGAAAAGGTAATAGTGGACTATCTGGAAGGCACCACGCTAATGAAATATCCTTTAAGCAGATGTCAACATGCCTATAGGGCGGGAAGATCCACAGAGACTCTGACAGAGAGCTAACTTCAGAAAGCATTTCGATGGCCATCTTGATATCGGTTCACTCATTATTTTATGGATAGATTTTATGCTAAGACAAAGAGCAGTAAATCTACAAGACACGGATTGAGAGGCAGAGCAGTTAGAGGTTGACCACAGGGAGGAGTGCTTACACTATTCCTGTGGAACGTGACCATAGACTCACTACTTCAACAGCTTGACTTCAAAGGCATACAAACAATTGGGTATGAAGACGATATAGAACTGATGGAGAACGGCAAATTCCCAGACACCATTAGAAACGTAATGAGAGGTGCTCTCAAATGCGTCGAAAAATGATGCAGGGAACAAGGCCTGATCATCAATACGACGAAATCAGACACTATCCTCTTCAAGAGGAAGAGAAGTCTGTCAATGAAGCCTTACAACTGTCAATGGAGTATCTAAGAGTCATCCTGGATAATATACTGACCTGGAATGAACATGTGGATGAAAAGATCAGACAAGCGAAGAGAGCCCTATTTCACCGTCAGTTGTCTGGTGCGGTAAAGCCACCCAAAAGACAAAAAAGCGAAGTTAGATAGGGTCCCGCGACTAACCTATATTGAAATAACGGGCGCTATGCGCACCACACCAACACCTGCGTTAGAGGCGGTGCTAGGTTTGCTTCCGTTGAATTTACATATAAAGAAAATGGCGGCACTGGCAGCAATTCGAATGAACCAGAGCTCCACATGGAACAACTTCGGAAAATTGGTGGGCCATCAAAAAATTCTTGAACTCGTTTAGACCGCGGTCAAGGAAACGCAGATGCCATATACGACAGAAATGTCCTATAGAACACTGATAGTAGACGGCCTTCTACATAATGAATGTGAAAAGAATGACATCTGCACCTTTACCGATGGCTCCTTGATGGATGCCAGAGCTGGTGCTGGGTTTACTCGAAAGAGCTAAATCTAACGTGCAGTCTACATCTAGGAATTCTCTTCATTGATGCATTTGGAGTAAATCGCGTAGGTGGTCGACTAAAAAACTCACTACTAAGTTTCGAGGCTCGCCATCCAATGATACTTCCAAAAACCCATTTTATCACAAACGCAATGATAACTGTCTACCGCGCGACAGAGTGTAACCAAATAGAGTATTCCACACTACTGGTATTGACTTCTGCAGGCCCTCTTATTATAAATCTTAAGTGCGAACTTGTATTCCTGTAAAATCCTACATCTGTTTGTTTGTTTGTTTTTCGAAGAAGGCTGTACATGTGGAAGTGGTCAAAGATCTAACTACATCATCGTTTTTAGCTGCTCTGAAACGTTTTACAGGTACCCGAGCAAATTCCAAAGATAATTTGGTCTGACATTGCCACGAAATTCGTTGGTGCAAGAAACGAGTTAGCCGAAGTAAAACAATTGTTCGAAAATAGCCAACATCTTAGAAACATTCATCATCATAGAATGGAAATTCATACCACCTATATCTACACACTTTGGTTGTCTCTCAGAGGCTGCCATAAAATCTGCAAAACGATTGTTTTACAGCACTGTTAGACTTTTAGTTTTATCATTTGAAGAACTACGCACACTCGCATGCCAGTTATCGACAGTGCTTAATTCTCGTTCTCTTTGTTCTATTTCAGAAAATACGGACGATTTAGAAGTTCTCACACCAGTTCAATTCTTGGTGGGTGGTCCGATGACAACGAGTTAGTTACATGCTAAAAATATTTTGAAAAAAGTGGAGTGTCAACTTCCTCACACTATTGCAAGAGCGTAGCAAATGGCGCTCACCTGCAGCAAATGTTAGTGCTGAAGATATAGAGCTAGTACATGAACAATCTCCCACCTCTTAAATGGCATTTAGGCCGCATCACTAACATAATATGCGGATCTACCCACTTGGCTCGAATTTTGGAAATACGTACGAATATAGGAACTATCAAACATATTATAAGGAAGTTGACAATTCTTCCGATAGACGATATATATGTTCAAAGTCTGAGCCTTTAGACTGGGGGTGGATGTTTAGAGTAGTGGTAATTAAATTCAATTAATTTCATTTTAACTTTGTTTTACACTGCAACACTGTGTGTTCGAAAAGTTGGCTTGTATTTCATTTTTGCTTTTCTATATTAAATCCTTGTTCTTGCTTTTTTATTTGCCTTGTTTGCTTTGCATTAATAAATTCAAACTTTCATAACTCGAAGTCCCATTTTTGTTTTTTCATTTTTGAAAGAAATTAGAATTACATTTTAAAATATTTGTTTATTTGCTTGCAATCAAATAAAGCACATACTTTAATTTATTTCTTATTTTCAATATTATTTTACTTTATTCATACTTTAATAGTGATCATCAGTTGTAGGATCATTCGTTTGCAAATATAAATTTAGAATATTAAAGGAGTCTTCTACCTTATTCTTGGAAGGTTGATGAACAATTATATCTACCGAACCCTAAACATCACTTTTCGTTGCGCTTAGAATTGAATCCAGTAATTTAGAGCTATAGTGCTTAATAATATCGACATCTGTAGAAAGCTTGATATACAAATTTCATTGTCAAGCTCAATATAATCGTTAAGAGTAGCATTGGAAATTATTTTATTAACTTTAAACCACGCTGCCAGCGACTGGCATTTGCACAAAGAAGCAACATAAGAAAGAAAAAATTAAACATTTGGTTCAGAAAAAGGGTTTTCAACTTATAGACTTTCCCATATTCCCATATATAGAGAAAAACAAATTATAAAAGTTCGAGATATGGAAGCAGAATTGTATATAATTTGCTCTCTAAAACCTTAGTGCACTGTTTTTGGTTCGATTTATAGATAATTCGAGTTATAGAAGTACGAGTTATGGAAGTTGGACTGTATTCAAAACTTCTCTTACCGGTTGATCATTGGCGAAGGACCACGCGCCTTTTGTCTACTCGTTCTTAAAATTTGAATTTATAAAATAAATAAAATATATATGAAATAAATAATTACAGAAATTAAAAAAATAGTAAATAATATTTTCATTTCAAAACAGTCTAGTTTCGAAGTCTTTAATTTTTTCATATGTTTCCTAAAATATTTACAAATTTTTTTTTTGTTCACTTACTAAAGATTTTTTTTTCCACCACACACCGTTTTCTTGTAATCGGGTTTTAAATCGAGTGACTTACAATTTTAATTCACAAAGAAGTAAAACTTTGTTCATTATTACTCATTCCCTCTAATAAATTCATCTTGGTTTTTCAAAAAAAAAAAAAACTAACAAATTTCCTTCAAAGTTCTATTGTAAAAAATCCTTATGGATAGAAGTTAAATTCTTTCGCAAAGCATATTAGATAAAATTAATTAAACAATGTTTCTCCAAATATTGATTTTCAACCTATTATAATTTCTTAACCCATTTTAAAAAACAACTTAGGCATAAAATTAAAGCATATATAATGAATATGTGCCAAAGTATTTGAGCCGTTTTTGAGATATTATGAGTTATTTGACTAAACGTATTATTTGGAATAACTTTTTATTATATTAAATTTTAACTTAAATTTATTCATTTATAAAAAATGCAAACATGTACATATGTTCTATATTTTTGTAAAATAAATATAGAAACCGCTTTTGACTCCGTAGATATGTCAGTTAATGTAAATGTTAGTTAAATGAAAATTGACCGTCGTGCATTTAGAAGAATAAATGCTAATTTTTTAGAAAAGCAATACCACAACAAACAATATTAAATATTAATCATATCCAAGAATATTTTATATGTTAATAAAATGTTAAAATATACTAACATAAAGTTAAGGTCAAATTTGCGATATAGTGGAACATATTTATTTTTAGGTTCTGTTATGATTTCTTTAACATTTAGTGTGCAAGTAATTTACATCTTTTAAACTAATATTAATATTTTTTAAACCGCACCCGCGTACAATGCATATTTTTGTATTGAGAACAAATTGCTTTCTCTCTGAGAGATTAAAATCCTTGCAACACCTTTTTAAACATATGTAAAAATTAGAACTCTTGTAAAAGTGGAGAAATGGATATATATATATATATATATATATATAGCCTAACGGGTGTATAGTACCCATAAAATACCAGTAAAGAGTAAAAACTCTTCCCTTCTCTTCCATTTATTTCATCCCACAAGTGGGATGAGCCTTAAACAAAAAATGTCCATTATGTTCATTATTTGAAAGGGGTGGTTCTAAAAACTGTTACGCCCATTGCATACAAATTATAAATTATGTAAAATTGTCCACCCTAAAATGCACCAAAGATAGTAAAAGTCATTATAGAGCTCTTTATCACACATTTATCTAGTTGTGAAATCTGCTTGGATCCGTAAAGTTCAAATAACAGCAAATAATATAAAGTAGTATTCATGACTACAGAACTCGCGAAATTAGTTTACTAATTACCTGTACTCGTACATCGATGTATTATTCAATCGTTTCATATATTTTTATAATCTTGATATTACTTATGTCATGATTAGCGTCCAATAATAATTAAGATTGATTTAAAAAATATATAATTCAAAATGAAATGTGTAACTTTAAACTCTAAATAAATTCCAAATTAATAGTCGGAGTGAATTCTATTAATACCCACCACTGTGGTTAAAAGTTTACAAAAAAAGTAAATATATAGCAATTAATTAATTAATAATTGAAATTTGTGATAAAGTTATGTTCTTTAGTCTTTAAACATTTTGTGTTTATATTAAAAAAAAAATTTGTGAAATTTATATCCTACATATAAATATATGTAGGATTAATAAACCCCAAATAAGTGAGAGTTTCAAAATTTATTCCCCAACGGCATTTGACGCCTCTAGGGCGTTTAAATTGGAGGACGATTTTGGGGTAGGTTGCATGTCTATGTCGATGTATTCGGCGTCAGATAAAATGAAAATGTCAGCACCCAGTTATTTTCCTGGTAGGTGCAGTCCGTCATATCGAAGTTCCGAACAAATGCGAAGATGTATGCCAAATGCTTCTGTAAGTATGAATTCACTTCTAAACTTTATTATTTTCTTACAAATTTACCTGAATCACTTTACACATTGTTGTGACAGTATAGCTGTTGACGTACTTCTCAGCTGTATTTATTTCAATACAATATATATATTATTATTTTGATATTTATATAAAAAATAAATAAATTACAATCGTCACATTCCAAAGCAATTATTATAGCAAAGCTTTCAACTAAAAGTATAAATTATATATTGCACTTATAATTTTCTGTTTTATTTCTAATGTTATTATAATTTGTCCATTATTTATTTTGTGACATAAGTATAATTCTATTTGTGGTTTCTTTTCTATAAACAATTTTTGACAAAAACATTTTTCTTTTATTAAATACCTATTATTAAATTAGAAAAAAAAAATTATTGATCGAAGCATTGTTAAAACGTATCTATAGTGTTAGATATGTTTTAAGGACATAAATAACTCTAAAAAAGCATTGATTATTTGTTGATGTACATTTTGTCTGAATTTGTAAAATTATTTTTAATTTAGTTAATAAATTAATAACATTGTTTTATTTATTGCTAATGAGGTTTTTTGTGAAATGACTATCATCTTCTAAATTTTCGATATAATTTTAAAATTACTTAACTCAGACTCATGCGCTGCTGTCAGTCTTTGGAGGGAGATTAATTTTTTTAATTACAGAATACACTAGTGCAATGAGTTCTAACAGTATAAGGGAGGGATCGACAACCGCAATATAACCCTTGAACTCACGACACTCACTTTAATAAAATTAATACAGTTAGAGTTAATATTACCAATACAAAATCAATTCTTTAAATGAACGCAAGACAGAGAACCTAACATTTGCAGTATTTTTTAATATTTATACTTTAAATACAATTACAATTTTACATCACTGCTATGCTTGCAATTCAAACACTTTTCATTTATTGTTTTGAAGGCCAAGAAGAGTATTATGAAAAACTTTAGTGGGTTTTCTATAGGCTTGCGCTTTTTGTATTGTTTAAAGGACTGAAACACCTTCTAAGAGTTTTAATGACTATTTTAATCAGTTTTATGGTTTGTTCATTTCTTTTGTTGTCAATATAACAAAATTATTTGTAGTTAAATTGAGATAGCACTATAGCTCAAAATTAAATAATTTATCCTATATTATTGAAGATACACACATATATTAAAAAGGACAAAATACCAAGGCTAAAAAATTTGTCTTGTACAATACTACAAGTCCTCTCGACAAATTACGCGAAATAATGAAGATTTTGAGTGCAACAAACGCGTGATCAAATTCAGTAAATCAGAAAGAGACTGTCATGTTTTTGTATTGAAAAGGACTTAAGTAGGAACAATATGTTGTAGTCAATATATTCTTAACAAATAACACAATTGTGTTGGTAATCCAAGCTTATATAGAGTTAGCAAATATCGACCGACATTGTTAACATATCCTGAAAATTTATTTGTACAATTATTAGTTAAAGATAGAGATGGTAAAACTGATTTAACGAAATTAAAACAGATATAATAAATTATTTAAAAAGGAGAGGATTGTAAATGCACAAAATAACAAGTTAGTGTATCATGGCATTTACAGTCATAATGAATGGTTTCCTAAAAATAAGATGCAATGAGGCATTTCTTCTTCTTATTTGGCACTACAGTCCAGTGTGAACCTTGGTGTCCCTCACGATCTGCTCCCATCTGTTCCGAAATATTTGCTATTCTCTTTCAATTCAGTACTTCAATCGTTCTTGCATCACCATACACGTTCTTATCCCATATTATTCTTTGCCTACCTCTATGCCTGGCTGTCATCGGTTCTGCTTTGTATATGCTGCATAGGTTGCTCTCCGGTCCTATTCTTACTACATGAGCAGCTCATTGTAGTCTTTGTGACTTAATGTATCTCATTATATTTTCGTTTATTAGTAGTTCTTCTTTTTGAAAGCTTCTTCGTCCACTTTCGTCATTGTTTATGTTTCTGAGCCATATGTAGCTACTGGTCTTATTATTGCTTAAAAGCTCAAAATTGTATTCACTAATTACTATGTGTTGCGTACCCGTACTCTTGTTCCTTCTCGTTATCTTGAGTTATTTAGTTTTACTTTCATTTATTTTCAAACCAACTTTTTTAGTGCTTTCGCCTAGCTTTTGAAAGACATTTGATAGGTCTCTTGCGCTCTTTGCAATGACTGCAATATCGTTTGTATACGCACAGATCTGGTACGATTTTGTTATAATATTGCACAGATGATAGTTATATCTGATAGTTACTGTTTTTCTCGTATAAGTTACAAGAGTTGTATGAATTATTGTATTTTACTTTATATATTCTATAATTAATTGTTGATCTTATATATCCAATCTTTAATCTTAGTAACACAATTAATGGGATGTGTCCAACCACTTCAACTGTGAGAACTCCAAATCGCTTATAATATTGCACAGATTTTCAAGGGAATGAATGGCATAATTTAATGATAATATAAATAAATAAACCGAAAGGCTGTCGCTCTGTTTAACTCTGGAGCTTATTGCAAAAGGTTTTGAGAAGTGTCTATTGAGAATAAACTTGTCTGCGGAATTCTAAAGGATCATTGCGACCAATCGAATAACTTTTTGTGGGGCATTTGCCAACGCTAGAGCGCTTATGGTTGTCTATCTTTCAAGGCTTTCGAAATTCTGCCTGAAATCTACTTTATAGCACTTTCCATCGATTGAAGTAGGACAAAGATTTGATCAAGAGTTGACCTGCCAGGTCTAAAATCGCATTAACATTCACCTATAGTATCGTTAATTCCTTCATGAAGCTTATATTTTAGGACAAGCTTGTTGCCCGTCTTATAGACTGGGAAGAATAAATGGCGCACTGATCTTAACAATATAGGAAAAAACAGAAAAATTTAACCTGCACTGGATGAATGTCTACAGTGTTGATTGAAATTTCATCAATTTTGAAGCGTTATGGTTGATAAATATTAGTGTAGATTTTTGGGAGTATTATTTGTTTTCGGTTTATAGTAATTAACAATATCTGGGAAGGTTTATTAGTTATGGTGTTTGACACGTGCAAGTGTATCCGTGCATGGTAAAATTGTCGAATTCTACTGAGTACAACTTGCAAATACTTCTTAAAATAGTTTTCATGTTGTGTGACAGTCTAGTTTTACTAATTGTAAATAAAGTGATATTAACAATTCAGTTCTGCTAAGTGCACTTTCTAAAAGTTTCTTTATTTGATTTTATTATATAGTGTGTTATTTAGGCAGTAATAAATTCGCTTAGTTGACTAGAATGACATTCAAGTAAGATAAGTTCAAAGTACAAATGGTGAGTAACAATAATGGTAAATATAAATTGGATATTTGCTGAATCCCACAATTGGAGTATTTTTATTTCTGATATGGCCATGAGTAAATAGTGCCTCAGCTGTCATTACAAAATATTGTGAAGAGATCTACTGTATTCCACAGAGAAAAAAATGTGTGTATGTAAATGAAATTTCAATTTTATGAAATTTTACATAAAATTAAAAAATTAAAAATGATTTTTTTCCTGTGTACCATTTTCGAGTTATCTGCGAAAAATGGAAATAAAAGATTAAACTTGAACAAATATTTTAAGCTACATAACGTCAGTATGACTTAATTGGGTTAGCTGCTATACTCAAAAATGCACAGATGAAAAATTTTGACTGTCTGAAAGCATTTCATGCCAGACAACTTATATATTAAATCTTTTCAGAAACAAAATATCATACAAAATACTCTGGATGACCTAAATAATATGTTTACAGAACCAACAAGGCCTCTAATTGTTGCAGAAATTTCAATAAGTAAACAAAATTGAATGCGAATTAATTAACAAAGTTGGAAATAAATAAAGATACTAGCATTGAATTTGATGCAACATTACTACCAACCTAAAAAAAAATAGCTGGCATCGAAAAACCCGCGTATTTTAAATTAAAAGTTTGGTTTTTTTGAACACAGGAGTTATAACAATTATTTTATATAATTAGGTAATGTAATAAAAACTATTCTTTGCTTACATTCCACAGTTTATGAACTCTTATTAGAAATCAATATTAAAACTACTTACATACATTTTACTTACATTGATAGATAATACAAGCCATTGATAAAATTCATTTTTTTGAGAACATGTAACTACATGTTTACATGTATTATAAACTATTTGGACTGTAATTCCAAACAAGCATTAAAATATGAAACATATATAAGAAATATTTTGATAAATGACAATCAATGTGAGTCAGTGTAAATTTATATTGAAACTTTATTCGGATGACGAAGCATAGTTTGAAATGTTTATCTGATTTATTATACCACGAATAATTTTTACAATAACTTTCGGCAACGTATTGTTTCACCACTTCACAAAAAATTGCTGGAACAGAATTTATCTTCTTTTCCAAATTATCCCACAGATGTTTTATGGGATTAAAGTCTGTTAATTGTGGTAGTGCTTGAAGTTGCTTGCAAGGAGCATGGTAAAGCAACTAATTCTTTACGATCGTTGTTGTATGCTTAAAGTCGTTATCCTGCTGAAACAAAAAGGTTGCCTTAAGCCGTAACATTCTGTCATTTTCTTTCAAATTTGTTTTTAGCATATATAGATATCCATATTTATCCATTATATCTTATATAAATTCAAGTTTAACGGCACCATTACTTGCTATACACCTCCAAACCATACACAAACCCAAACCATTAAGTCTCCACCATCACGTTTCACCGTTGAAATTAAGTTTAGTTTATAGTAAGCTGTACGCAATTTTCCCCACACAAGTTTTCTACCTTTGATTCCAAATATACAGAATTTACATCTGTAATGCATATTTTTTAACTTACTCTATGCAAAGCGCCTTTTTTGGGTGCAATTTTACAAAGAAGCTATGTCTCTACAAAAAGAATAGCTTTGAAAAGAAATATAGAATAGGCAAACCCAAAAAGTTAAACTTTCAATTCGTT